GGCATTTGAGCCTGAAATCATTCCATTTCACCAATCGATCATCACCCACAAAACCATCTTGAGGCACAATTTAGAGATTAGTAAACGATTGTAACTTGCAGACATTAGAAATGCCATAATCACTTTAACACTAAGAAGTGCTAAAATAAATCTCAGGTGGTCCGAGTTCACCACATAAAACACTCTTTAACGGTGTATTAAACACGATAACACAAAAAGACCAGATGGCTGACTATACCAATAGATTGAAAGCAAAGCCGAAGTTAGCTCAATCACTAACCATACACACAGTGCACTTGTGAGTTAGTGCCTTCTGTGCTGCGGCTTTTTGATCACTTCCCTTCTGCTTTCTCAATTCTTCTTGTTTCTTCAAATTCCTTTGTTGTGATTGGAATTTTTGATGACCACGAGCCATCTCAACACCAATTTACTCTATGCGGCGCTAAAATATCACTACTATTATAGCCATCACTGCCACTATTGCGATTGAAAGAAGTACCAAAAAAAACGTTTCTGAGACATCTTGCTTGCGATTAGCCACAAGACTGGGCATGTTCTCGAGATTCCCCCAAAGTCAAAAACTTTTCGTAGACAACTGTGAAACGCAAGTCTTTTGTGTGATCCCAATACCATTACTATCGCTATTACTAATATTACATCGCCCTTGATCACGAAATCATCTCGATGAACAATCAATAATATGATCGATCAGAACACGAAGAATATCAATACCAATGAATCAATCGCAAGTAAAACTACTCATGTGAAAGCACACACTCAAATCAACAACCACTCCGCGAATCCGCCGTCTAAGCACTAGCCATACGATTAAACTGGACTAAATTATGCTATTCACCAGTTGCATGCAGTGCCAGATGTGCATACATTGCATTTCAAAGTCACTGACTATAAATCATCGAATATCATCCACAATAACCCATTTACTTTGAGTAATATGCAAAATTTCGCATTTTTAATAATTGAACTAATAACAGCCAAATCAACGATGACGAATGATGAAACCTAAGTAATCTCATCTTAACAACCTAGCAACAACCACAGAATTGGAACCCTTCAGCATTCACTTCAAAAGAGAATATGATCCTCACAATTCAAATTCAAATTCTCAATCCTTCATAGAATCACTCAGACTCAAACGATAAATAC